ATAATAATATAGACTAGGGATATAAATAACTATTTACTTAATAACGAGACCTAGGTAAACTAACCTATCTAGTAGTAGTCTCATAGAAGGTTAGTCTCATAGAAAATCGTTTTGACAAAAGTTAGTAAAATATAAGTCTACTACTTACAAAAATTAAGGAAAGGTATTGCAAAAATAATAAATTTGTTGAGGAAAATGGGAAAAGAACTGATAAATACACACAACGTTAAAGTTTTTTTTTTCCTAAAGTAAATTGTGAAGTTTCCTCATTTTTTTTTTTAATTTGTTGCCCACTTGACTATTTAAATGAAATAGTTGAAGATGGTTTAAAATTATAAACAAGGGATATGAAAAATTATTTAACTATTTACATATAATGAAAATCAGAAATTTATAATGGTTGTGAGGCCTAGGTAACCTAACCTATCCAACAGTATGGTTAGTCTCCCCACTACCTTTACCTCAGTCCCCCCTCCACTTCTCGTGAATGAACCTTTGATTTCCGGATGTTCGGAAATCCGCAGCGCACCACCATCAGTACTTCATTCACTACCTTACACGACAATTCGGAACATCATTAGTGCAATTCCGATTGACCGTGTAGGGTCCCCTTTAGAAATCACGTTGACGAACTAACAGGTTTACTACTGGACAAGAACATCGACGTAGCACTAATTACGGAAACTCGACTATTTTTAAAACAGCTTTTAAAAATACCTCAATACATAACATACTGTACTAACCATCCTGACGGTAGAGCATATGCCGGTACTGTTGTTATTGTACACCAATGCCTTTCTCATCTCCAGCTCCCATTACCGACTCTAGATTTCCTACAATCCTCCACCATCATAATCAAAACCTTCTCCTTTCCCATCACCATAGCATCAGCGTATTGTCCTCCTAACAGATCCATATCCAATGTTCAGTTCTGTTCTCAAATCCATAGAACATCACTTCATCCTAGGTGGAGATTTCAATGCCAAACATCATAAATGGGATTCAATAACCACGAACTCTCGTGGTAAAACATTGCTATGAGCACTCAATTCCCAACATTTCAGTCGCCTTCCTTCTAACTCATCTACCTACTGGCCCACAGATCCTAACCGCAATCCCGATATCCTTAATTTTTTCATCAACAGTGGCTTAGGTCCCCTCAATCATTCCATTCCCTTACCCGTCTTGATGAACTTTCCTCAGATCATAGTCCATTATTACTCCAATTATCTCTAGGTCCTATTCCCAAACCTTCTCCACCGTCCTTCATGAGAGGTCCATATGTTATATGGAAACTCTTTCACCAAATCCTTTCCGATAAAATTGACCTCAGAATAACCCTGCAAACCCCAGAAGACCTTGACAATGCCGCACATTTCTTTACCACCACTATTCAACAAGCAATCTGGACTGTTTCCTCTCCAAACCACTCCTCAGGAGCTCCCAAGAAAAATATGTTACCTCACCACCTCATAGACCTAATCCACACCAAAAGCCGTGCCAGATTATTATGGCAATGGACTAGACACCCCACCGATCGTCAATCCTATAATTATTTCTGCAGAAAATTAAAGCATAAATTGGACACCTTCAGATCCTTCGGATTTCGTTCTCAACACTCCACAGTCCAACAAGGACTCGAGTCGATTCTGCAGCCCTGGAAAGCAAGCAATATTGCTCGGGTGCATTTCTGAACATAGCTCCAGCTTTTCACCTGGTAAGGCACGCCGGGCTTCTTTTCAAACTTAAAACCCATTTACCTCAATCTTTATACCTTGTCCTTCGCTCCTACCTCTCTGATCGTACCTTCCGAGTTCGCTGTGGCAGTGAATTTTCCAATTGAGGCTGGTGTTCCTCAAGATAGCGTATTGGGTCCCGTCCTTTACATCCTCTTTACCGCCGATATCCCTGTCCATTCCAATGATACCTTTCTGGCAATATTTGCTGATGACAACGCCATTCTATCACCCGGCTCAGATCCTGTTACAGCTTCCTTAAACCTTCAAAGACACCTCTTCCTGATTGAGCACTAGTGTAATAAATGGCGTATTAAAGTAAATGAATCCAAATGCCAACACATCACCTTCACATTCCGACGCAGTTCCTGTCCACCAGTACACTTTAATTCCATCCAGCTTCCTTTCTCAGACTCAGCCCGGTACCTTAGCTTTCTCTTAGACAGATGACTAACGTGAAACCCTCATACTAGACTTAAAAGACAGGAACTTAACCGAGGATACGGCCAACTATACAGACTATTAATTAGAAAATCTGAACTTTCTATTGAAAAAAAACTTATCTGCAAGGCAACGAGGAGCAACTGAATTGTAGGAGATAAGGTTTCTGTAAGTAGGATAGTTTATGAGTTTAGAATTTAAAAGATTTTTTAGGTGTAGGTTAAATTTGGTTTTTAATGATGAGGTGGGATCACGGAATGTAGGAGAGTAAGTGGAACGGTCTGATAGGAGTAAAGTCATTTTGTCAGTATATTCTGACAAAATGACTTTACTCCTACAGTTGCTCCCCGTTTTTATGGACTTCCTAAAATCCACAAACCCGGCACCCCACTCCGTCCGATCACTTCCAACATTAATTCTCCTTCTGTTAAACTTAGCAAATTCTTACTACCTTCCTTACAAATCTTCAGCCACAACAACCCTTATGATGTATAAAACTCATTCCATATCCGTGAACAGCTACTCTCCTTTACCATTCCAGACAATTTCATTCTTTACTCCTTCGATGTTGAAAGTTTATTTACGAACATACCCATAGACAAGGCACTTACTATAATAGACGACAATTGGACTATCATTGAACCTCACACCTCACTTAACCGCTCCTCATATCTCGAATCCCTTCATCTATGCTGTAAATCAGACTACCTCACTTTCCAAGGACAATATTTTAACCAAATTTCCGGACTACCAATGGGTAACCCCACTCGCTCCCGACATCTCCAACATCGTTCTCAATGATCTAGACTCCATTATCCCTCTTTACCCTAACGATATCTTCTTTATTCGAAAATACGTAGACGATCTCCTCCTAATCATCAATCCAAATAAAATTCCCGATATCCTATCACATTTTAATTCTTACCACCCCTGCCTCAATTTTACAGTACAACGCGAACTCAATAATTCTCTCCCTTTTCTCGACCTTCTAATCATTAAAAATCTCAATAACACCATATCCACAGACTGGTACACTAAACCAACTTACACCGGCAGACTCCTAAATTTCCATTCTAAACATCCCTACCACCAAAAAATTAACGTTGCGAAAAATCTCATCCACCGTAGTCTCTACCTCTCTGATCTCCAATTTCATGTTACCAATATCAAACGCATAAAACAGATCCTGTCAAACAATAATTTTTCTCTCCATGCCATTAACAAACTTATAACAGACCACAATAATCGCTCTTCCTTAATCTCAACTTCCACTAATTCCCCACAACCCATTTCAGCCCCTATATACAGATCTCTACCTTATATTCCTAACCTTTCAGTCAACATCAACAAAGTTTTACGATCTACTAACCCTAACTTACGACTTGCATTCAAATCTCACAACACACTCTCTAAATTATACACATCCCTAAAAGATCCTGGTCCTCTCTCACATCGTTTACCGCATTCTATGTTCTACCCCCAATTGTTTTTCATCCTATATTGGTGAAACCAAAAATCTCCTAAAAGACCGTATAACCCAACATAAATATTCTGTATCCTCTTGTAATTTTACAGCCTCCAAATTATCTGAACATTCTCTCTCCCTCTATCATTCATTTGATTTCGACAAAACATCCATCCTTGCCACAGTTCTCAACCATGACAAACGACTCATTTCTGAAACTCTCCACATCCAGCTTCAACCAAAGACAGTGAATCTAAAAACTGACAAACAGAACTTTTCTTTAGCCTACTCCCAAATTCTGAATTTATTAAAACATCCATAGTTATATTCCTTTCCTTTTTGCTGACAACTTCCTTATATATATAATGTATGTGTGTATATGTATATGTATATTTATATGTATATATATTTGATATATTTTTATTTCAATTATTCTCCCTTATTACTCAACAGTTATTTTTCTTTTGAATTTTTCCTCCACTTTCTATTAACTTTCCATAATATTTCTGAGTAATATATCTCTCCTACCTATTTATGCTTCCAGTGCTTTAGTTCAAACTTGGTCAGATAACCATTAGAGATGACACCACCTACACATCTCTTCCATCAGCTCTAAGAGGAAACATATCAGTGATTTTCCAGAGCTGTGACAATCTGACACACCTTAATAGTTGCTTTGCTTAAATGGGTAAAAATGAGTTCAATAACATTTATAATGTTATTCATATTTAGTTCCTATACGTTTTACTTTTAGAATGGTATGAGGTTAAGACCTACTTTATTTTAAAATTATTTTTGTATTATCTGTATGAACAAAATTATTTGCAGCCTTAATATATACTGCACTTTAATGTAGCACATTTTGTTATTCAATAAAAAAGAAGTGTTGCTATATATTACAATCTTAACTAATTTTAGATAAAATAGATATATGTGCTTGCAAATCTCTCTTTGTATAAACAGCTCAGACTGTAATTATGTGGTCCAAAAATACATAAGGAGTTATGAGGGTTTTTATTGCCTCTTATCAATAAAATAAATATGATTTGTGTTGTTCTAATGAGTTTTCAGAGGTCAGTTAGTAGGTTTGGCTCGGATAAAAATGGACTTAATAATAATTCAAATTTGACAGAAACAATTTTAGTTTTAAGTAGAGCAGTAAGTGAAAGTTGTGTGGTACATGCACTAGATTTATATTACCTAAAACATTGAATTATATTGTATAATCTAAATGTGAAACAATATATTATATAAAACTTATTTTTTTAAAGTTTAGAAGCCATTCCATATAGGCCATTGTGTGGACAAACACAAATTAAAACTATTGGTGAAATTAAGGATAGGATAAAGAAATAAATATAACTTCAGAATGTCATATTTAGTGTAAAACAATTATATTTTATGGTTTAAAATGTTTTAAGACCTAGAGTTAGGTCCCCTCCTTCTACCGTAAGTCTGTACAACATTGACAAATCGTCTATTGTATTGAATACGCCTTTTAGCACGTCCAGTCTTCTTCTTTTTCTTTTCCATCTTTTCAACCTATAAACATTATTACAATTAGGACATCTTGATATTTTACAATCTCCCATCAATAATATATTTTACTGAAAATAACTTAAACAAATATTTAGGTGCGATGAGGGAGGGGAGAAGTAGGACCTGTAGTTTCCCCAGGTATTTGATCCCAGGGATCCAGGGAAATTTGTCTTTAGGGATTTTGGCTTCCCTCTAGGGCCATACTTACTTATATAATATACTAACTTTAATTTCAAAAGGCTATTGTTAGGGCTATATGAAAATTAATATAGTTTACCATGACACTACTGAACTTGTAAGTTCAGTAGACAAACACCTCACGGCAATTTCTTTTGCATTAATGAGCACATGGCCAAGGGGGTTAACATATGTGCCTAACACCGTGTTGCCTTGCAACCTGATGGAAAATAATTCAATAACATAACCACGAGTTTGCGTCCCATTGCCTGGTGGGCTTTTAACCGTGTCATTATTCCCCGGCCGGGAAAACCCCAGATAGCCTCAAAGAACGGGGAAGACAAAAAGTATCCTAATAAATAATAATATAAATCTTAACATAAAAGTTATCATTTTTAAATTAATGCATCTAAGATTTCATATCCCGCATACTATTTTTTGCTATAAATTAATTAAAAATTGAAAAATAATAGGAAACATCAATAACAAACCCAATATATCTTGAAAAAATTAATAAAACTATCGGCTTGATCTTTGATTGGAAGACACCTTTTATAATTCACTCTCTGAAGAAAAATTGTAACATCACCTTTTATCATATATTTAGTTAACAAAATAATACATAGAAATCAATAATATTGATGACAAAATACTTATTATTTTTTAAGTAAATATGACTTGTATTTAATCTAAGTATCCCAATCAGCATCAAAAGGTGACTGGAGTTGCAAGACTAAACTTAATATAGCACTTAATAATTTTTTAAAATATATATATAAAAAAAGAAGTGAATAAAAATCACATTCAATTTTTATTGTAGTGCAAGTGTTACCACAATTGTCATGTCAAAATAATTAACTATAATAGAAATATTAATACAGCCAAGGCTGTGACTATTTTATTAAGTGAAAGATGATTTACAAGAACAATGTAGAGATATAAAGAGAAGAATTTGTGGAAGTGGAAAATCACACAATCCTGTTGAAAATGACTTTTTCATTTTACTCTTGTAGACCGGAAATATGAAGAATGAACAGATAATTTCTTTAATACAATGATGGTATGGTCCTAACCAAATCTAGTAAAACATAAAAATTAACTGAAATATAAAAAAAAAACTTTAAGCGTAAATATTTTGATAAAAACATGAAACAATTATTTTTTAACTGTTTGTAAGAGATCGTTCAAGGCAGGAGGAGCAAATTTCTCTCTTAACCATTCTCAGGATATGTCCTAACCATTTCATTCGCTGCACTCGAGCGAATTGGGAGATTACCGTACATTGAGTATACTTTCTTGTTTGTTCTCGAGCGGGAAATACCTTCCTCCAGTTTAGGTCCTATTATACGTCTTAATGTTTCCCTTTCAAACCGATCTATTCGTTCAGCAGATGATTTTGTTAGAGTCCATGCCTCATTGCACTTATGTTGCAACTGGCCAAATAATCGTTTTGTACATCCTAAACTTCATTGTATGACTTAACAATATACTTTTCAGAAGGCTAGCTAGAGAAAAGTATGCTCTGTTGGGAGCCATTATTCTAGTTTCTATCTCCTCCTCTTCATTATTGCTATTGTTTATTATGGAGCCGAGGTAGGTGAAGCTTGATAAAGTTTGAAAAATAGGGTTTCCCAAGACATCGTGCGTGGTGGATGGACAAGCCTTTTCTTCCTTAAAACAACGACCTTGGTTTTAGTTACCTAAAAAAATATTCAGATCCGATAAGGGAGGGAGGAAGCAGGACACATAGTCTCCCCATCCCAGGTATTTAATGGGGATCCAGGAACATTTGTTCCTGGCGTCTTTGACTTTACTCACTAGTATAATATACTAACTTTAATTTCAAAAGTCCATTGCCAGGGCTATAAAAAATTAACATATTTCACAATGACACAACCGAATTTGTAAGTTCAGAAGACAAACACCTCAGAGTGATTCCTTTTGCACTAATAAACATGGGTGGGTGTTATATAAATAATAACAATACTAGATAAATTATGTAAAATTTAAATTAAAAATACATACCTTTGGGGTTTGACCCTTCACTTTACCAGCTCTAGCCAGAGAACCATGGACTTTACCTGTAAAAATATAGCGTAAAAGGTAATTAAAAAAAATAAAATAAAACCTGTAGAATAATTATGAATGATTATTAATGTATCTAATCTAAGTATCCCAATCAGTATCAATAAGTGATTGGAGTTGCAAGACTAGAATTAATTTAGCACATATATTAATTTAAATAATAACTGAAAGTGACAATACTACACTGACAGATTAAATTTATGTGCGAAGAATTATGATCTCATCCATCACTTTATATTTACACATGTCCCACTAACTTTTTATTTAATTTGAACGGATTATGGTGGATAACATAAGTTTTACAAGTTGTAAACATATTTTGTAAGTAATTTGAATGCAATTCACTCTATTAGAAACAATACGAGCCTATATTTGAGGCTGATGATTTTAGAAAATTAAGTTTACTGAACTAAAAAATTAATGTACACCTACAGGTTTTTTAACGTCAACAATGTTACAACAAACCCTTCTCCCTCCCCACCTAAAAAAGGTCTTAGATACCTAGTTTAGAGAAATCAGTGAGCATTTTGCATTATCACATGACAAATTAAAATAATACCACTTTGAAAAGGTAATTAAAAACAAATGTAGAATAATTATGAATGATTATTAATGTATCTAATCTAAGTATCCCAATCAGTATCAATAAGTGATTGGAGTTGCAAGAATAGAATTAATTTAGCACATATATTAATTTAAATAATAACTGAAAGTGACAACACAACACTGACAGATTAAATTCATGTGCGAAGAATTATGATTTTAACTTCCACTTTACATTTACAAAAATTCCACTAACTTTTCATTTAAGTAATTTGAATGCAGTCATTCCATTAGAAACAATACGAGCCTATATCAAAAGAATCATTTGAGGCTGATGATTTTCCAAAATTAAGTTCACTGAACTAAAAAATTATAATTAAAAAAAATACCTAGAAGTTTTTTAACATCAACTATGTTACAACAAATATCCTTCCTCCTCTCCACCCAAAAAAGTTCTTAGATACCTAGTTAAGAGAAAACAGGTAGCATTTTGCATTATAACATGACAAATTAGAATAATACCGCTTTCTAGGTGCAACTAGTTAAAAGATTAAAAAATTTACACCTTTTCTACAAGACTGTCATTTATTAGAAAAAAAACAACAGTTGATTGTAATCACATTAAATTAAAAATTTTCATTCCATTCAGAATTGAAAAACAATAAAAACTCTCTCTTTGCTTATTTTCTATCAATAAACATTTAAGCTAGTTAAATGATCAACTTGGATGTATAATTCCAACAAGTAAATAATGTCATAAGCTAAAAGCATAATAAAAGGGCAAATAATGAAAAACAAGAAACAACGAAATCAGTCCACTAGTTTCCGAGATAATCTTAGCACAGAAAGACCAATGGCTGAAAATGATTTTTTGTTTTTGTTTTTTCAAGCTTGGGAAACTCTGAAACATACAGATCAGTTGAAAACCGTAAATCGAAAATTTGACCAGATTGCAATACTTTCCTTACCTAGTAGAGACAGGAATATAAAAAATCATGAAACTTAATAATTTAATTACCAACTTTTCTGTATACCAAAAACCTCAGAGATTCCTCCTTCCCGCCCTTACTATTTATGCTTAATTCTTGTATTCATTAACAAACGTCTTATGAAGAAAGAAAAATGAAAATTTTTGAACAACTAACATTGTTTGTAATAAGTGAAATAATAACTTTCCAGGACTAAAAACCAGATCTTTTACTAACTCCTTGAGACATCTTAGTAGTATTGTCCAAATGCAAGAACAAGATGAATCTTTGTCTAGCGTACTCGCTCTTGATCTTGCACAAGAGTCTGCTATTTATTAATCATGTTACTTTAGATCTTAGAAAAACACTACAGAATAGATACATATAAATGTTTTATTGCCCTAAAAATAGTAAAGCCTAAACAGATTAATAAAATTAATTTGACAATACATTAACGTCATTGTCATGAAAGACAGCGGTAGGCCTCCACTTTGGAATGCAAGAATTGTAGAGTAATGACAATCTATACTATGTCACCAATTATTTAAATAAAAAATGTAATGTCTACCTAATCACATGACTTTGCTACTGATTTTAAATATGTTTATTAAAAATAACAATTGAATTAGACTTATTTCCTGACAATGAGAGAAATCATTAGAGTATGATTTCTATGTCACAAATTTAATAATTGTTCATTTGCCAATTTAAACTGGTAACGGGTAAGTGAACCATTATTAAATTCAATATACTGCAACATCGCTAAAACTAAAAATTCCATTACATACTATAGAGACATTATTGTCATTTTTGAGAATAGGGAAACCAAACTAAATCCTGAATGTAAAATTGGAAGAGTTAAATGCAAAAGTATATTGGTTCTACTAATTCTTTACACTGCAAAGTACAAGACCAAGACCGATTTTGGACAACACTACATCTCAGCCATATCATATTTTCTGCTTTATTTTTTGTGTCTCAGCTTTTATTTTTCATGTTTTGTAATCATGCGTAGTTTTTAATTATAATTAACATCATAACATATATACTTTATGAAAAATAATGAAATATACACATGAGAACTAGAGGTAGTGGTAACTGAAGTAGTAATTTAAAAACTGTCATCAGCGTTTTGTTCTAATATGAGTCACTTATAACCCAATGCTAAAAAATAATTAAATAACAAGAAAAAAGAAAAAAAGATAATGCAGTAGAGTTTAAATTAACTACCTACTGAACATAATGAATACAATCATGGCGAAATTTAAATGTTTAATCAATTTATTTTGGTTAAAGTTAATAAAGGATTTATGTAAGTACGTCAGCATTAATGCAAATAGTTTTTTTTCCAACATTAAAGTTTCTAATGAAATAAATTTAGAAGCTTAGTGTTATGTCTTTAGTATGAATTATAATAATAAGGTAATTAACCAATTACCTTATTATTATAATTCATAATTATTATTGTCAGATTCGTCAATAACAGTCGAACAATATACTGCGATCTGCTAATAAGATAAAAAAATTAATATATTTAACAAACTAAATAAGATTAAAATTTAAATTTTAACAATCATTTAAAATACGGATGATTCAATCATATCACCTATTACTTTGTTTCTCATCTAAGTATCCCAATCAGTATCAAGAAGTGATTGGAGTTGCAAGATCAGATTTAATATAGCACTGATAAAAAGTTTACTTAAAACTTAAGTGAAAGAACATCACATTTGAGTTTTAGAACAGTGCAAATTAATATTTTCAGTTCCTGTGAGAGAAAAATATTACTAAAAGAAAATTATGAGTAGAATTGCTTAGAAACCTCTAAAAAAATCCATTATCTAAGAAACAATGTCTTGCTAAAAAATAGAACATACTCATTACAGTAAAAAAAAAAAAAGATTGTCTAAATCCCTTATTTTTCACCTATATAACCATATTAATAATAAATCAATTTAATAACAAAGAGAGTTAAGTTACCTCCAAGTAAGGGGACTGTGAGGTCAAGATTCCTGTTCTCCAAATCAGATACAAACATATCATCTTGCAGAGGAGTTCCCGATGAGGCTAAACTAATTAATTCATGAGGAATACCTTCTATGTCGGCAACTCGGACCTATAATTATAAAATATTACTCAATTAATCTCAAAAACAGATGAAATTATATTAATTACAAAAAAGGATATCAGACAGGAACTCTGATTCTTTACTAATATATCTACAGCATAAAAATTATATTAAATCAAATATGTAAACTGAGAAGGAGTTAGAACGAGGGTGCGGTCAAATAAATAAAAAAAATTAAAATATATAAATTATTTTAATTTTTGCCGACGTTTCGACCCACTTTGCAAGTCGTCTTCAGGGCGTAGGATGTGGCACTGCGGGAGGCAGTTGAAACAATGGCAGTCAACATCCTACGCCCTGCAAAGTGGGTCGAAACGTCGGCAAAAATTAAAATAATTTATATATTTTAATTATTTTTATTTATTTGACCACACCCTCGACTAACTCCTTCTCATATTATATCAACGGTCAACCATCTCTACATCAAATATGTAAACATTCCAAAAACCTTTTAATGAAAGAGTAACTTTAATATCACCTAAAAAAGTTACGGTACTAGTTTACAAGAGTTCCGCACGGATTACGCATGGTTCACAATCACTTCGATCACACTTTTTCATGGAATCCAGAAAACAGTCGAATGGGTTCGGGTTTATCCAAAAGAGAACGAAGGCGACTGATCTCTTGAATCAGTTACTATTAACTTTTCCGCCACTTAGGAACTTCTATAACCTTAACCATGTTCTGTTATATAGCAGGAGCTGATTTACATTCGATATTTAGGCTACACATCATGAAACCAGAATCGAACTTGTACATATATATTAGAGATCTGTGAAAAAGAAATAGTAATGGATAAAAACCTATAATTATTACATTTCTGAATGTTATTTCACGATATTATTTTTCTTATTGATGATTTCCATTATTCATTATCTCGGAATTATCAGATATTCTTCGTCAGTTATTTCCCCAATACGTTAATTCCTTTCTCAAAAATAAACACAATTTTTTTTTTTAACGAATGTCTACAGTAATTCCCATTTCGGATTACCAAGAAAAATAACTGCGAATAACAATAATTACACAGCTAATTGATTCAATAAAAATAATAGCCATTAAAACGAAATTTTAAGTTAACAGTTGACAACTGGCAGATCTACAAGTCTCGTTGGGATTGGACATGTTTGGAATAAATATTTATCTATATAATACATTTACGATTGATAGATACATTTTATTTATTAATACCGTATACTTTTCTCGCGCAATCTTTAATCCGACATTATTTTCATAAAAAGCGTCCTTGACAACTTAACACTGGGCTCTCACATCTAAGAAATCCAAAAATCTATGAACAATTTTAAATCAGACTGTATATTCATAAAAAGCTCAGACAACTAGAAAATAGTGGATCTGTATATCTAATAATTCAAAAAAGTTACATAAACTTGATGCTAAATCTCAAATCAGACAGTATATGCATACAAAGCGGTACATATATATATATACATACATATATATATATATATATGTGTGTGTGTGTGTGCTTACAATTTCCTAGGTATTTTTTTGTATATATTTGTATAATACTTACATGCCAGACTGAGGTACATATTTTGTAAACTCTACTATTATTCTAAGGGGACTCCAGTTATTTTTCATTTCATTTCATTACATATAAGTTGAAATGAGGGATTTAATTTACTTCTTTACTTTCAAATTCTGCACGATCTAAAGGGATAGACTACTAACGGGCCTTTTTCAGTCTCATTCACCCTTTCGAGGAGTTCTATTTAAAGGGTGATCATGAGATTTCGTGTCAACTCATTTAAGCGAAAGTAGTAGCATGAAGATTTAAAAGAAAGTAATATCTAAGATTCATTTGTAGAATGCAGCAGTGGGGGACAAAATAACTAATGGCTAATAATTCTTTAAAACTAATAATCCTTGATGGAGACTAAATGTTTCAATGGAAAATCAACCAGTTCAAAACTAAATAGAAACTTGACAAATTATTATCAAGCTCAAACCAACCAAATTATTCAAGAAGCTAAATTTATCATTCTAAAATTGATTGGAAACTAATCTATCAAATGTTTGTGATAGAAGATGTACAAATTCTATTAAATTGTGTTGTACATAATGTAAATATAGAAAGATAAACAGGGCAAACATTAAGTATTCTAGGATAGCAGTTAATTGGGAGTCTGTAAATCAGATATCTTTATACTATACAGGAAATATTATGCTGCTTTCAGAATTCTATGTTAATTATGATCTAGAAGTCACACTTGAAAAGTGGCACTCAGGTTTTAAGTTATATTTTGAATTACAATTTGAATTGATAAAAAAGTTCTAACCCAAGAAATAGACGTTCAGTACTAATAACTAAGAAACTATAAATATTTTCTTTCATATAAAAGGTTTTCAAAAAATTAACATCAAAGAGGAATAAACACATACACTGTGCACTTCGCACCCATATTATAACTTAAGAAGTAAACAAAAATGTACATGAGAACCTGTTAATTATTAGGGGTAGGTTGATTTTGAAACAAATACAAAATACCAATAACAGAGCTAAAGTGATATTGGTCTTTGGAATAACAGCATTCGGCTACCAGATCACATAATAATGATGGCAAGTAAATATACTGTTTGAAAACATAGGACCACATGGATTACTAACCTTTACAGATCCTAGTGTGTCAGATTGAGAACATTCTACCAAATGATGGGACTGCCCACGAACGAAAAGGCTAATCTTCTCCTAAAAATAAAAAATAGATAAATAACACACATCATGTAAAAACTCTTAATTAAATAAAAAACACATTTAACCTAAAAATGTCTTTAACAGTAACATTAAAGTTTTGCAATACACAGATTAAACATGACAAATTAACGAAAGTATTTGTAAATGACATTGAACTGTCAAAATAAAGTAAAGCAATTAATAAAAAATTATTATACCTCTCCAAGAATCATTTTGAAACTTTTAATTCCACCAAGCAAATGACCGAAGCAATGGAGGCTCAATGAAGACTTGGCTCTAGAGCTAATGCCAATGTGATATGAATAAATTGTTTCCGAAAAAACTAAAAACCAAATGTATATAATTATTAAAATTGTGTTTGTTTTTATTTGAATATATTTCTATTTATCTTAATTTGAATGAAATTCCAATAATAATTTTATAATTATTATTATTACATTGGCATATCGTTGGGAGTCATCAGTTGTCCAATCATGCCTCCACAGGTCTAGTGTGCGAAGCAGATGAGCGGATTACTGGCACAGAATGCTACCCAACAAGTCGAGGTGGCTGGCATTGAGGTCTCATAGTACTGCATTGTTATCAGTGATTAGGAACGTTCAAAGTTCATAAATGTCTGTGATCTTAGCCTATAAAGTCAAGAGTATTTTTATAAACTGAGATTTTTAACTATGAATGTTCAACATAAAAGGAGTTTTAACTGTGCCGGTTTATGTGCTGTTGCGGCCAGTGCGATTTTTAATGTTTGTTTCAATTATTTAGGAAAATTATTGTTGATTTCGCTTCATCAGCTATATACGTGGTATTATGTGATAGGGACACATTTGCATGGTTTAAATAGTGTGAAGATATTTTTGAGGACTATATTCAAGACTGTTCACCTTGATATAAGAAGTAGGGTTTCAACTTATGAAAAAGTTCCAAATCATTTAACCATTATTATTGGAGTAGAATCTCCATCTTATACAGACTTTGCTAAACTGATTGGGTGGTGTGTGCAGTCTGGAATTTCTCACATTAGCTTCTATGATCATTATAATGGTATTGAAATAAGTTTCTCCTAATGTTTTAAGTTAGCTATGTTTATCTTTAATAGCTTGAACCTTATATGTGATCTTAAATATATGGCTTATTGCAGGCATAGATTGTAAACTACTCTTTGTTTCTGTTTGCGAAGATGCTAAGCAATACATTCCTTATATTAAGTGGGGGAAGTCTTTTAGTGAAGATTTTAAGGAAATGTCCAAATCACAGATAAATGGTAAGTTAAATTGATATTAAATTATTAATTGTTAAATTACTATAAATGGTAAGAGTGTGATTAATATTTTCATATTTTAATAATAATTCTGGTATTTTTTTAAAAATATGTTTTCGAATAGAGCTTTTTAAACAATATTTACTGAATGTTAATATTGCCACACCCACTTTTCACAAAATAGACAATGTTAGAATATGTTAAAATTGTTCAGTAATTATTGATTTTTGAGGCTTTATTGAATTCTTTGTATTAATGTTTTGAAATGTCAAATTAATTATGATGCCATGTCTGACTGTCATGCTGATTTATTGAAACTTAAGAATTTAGTTAATAATTCACCATTTTTCTTTATTAATCAACACGATTAAAAGCAAAATTTAAGACTTATTAATTTCTTCAACTGTTTTTAGTTCCGACATATAATCACAAACTAACAGTTGGCTTGTTAACTAAATTTTACCTTATTTATGGTGCATTATACTTTTCTTTATATGATCAACTCTGAGATAATTCTATTCAATCTAAAATAATAAAAAAATCTTTCATGTACTTAATTTTTTTTTAACCTTATTATATTACTTAAGCTTATAGACTTAAAAGAACAAGTGTTATGATTTTTTAAGAAATTAGTTGGCGATGGTTACAGTAAGAAATAAAAAAAACGCTAATTAATAAAACTTTTTTTATCTTGTGCTAACTTTTCAGCTTTTGTTGCAAGATTTCATCAGGGTTATCTGTAGGATATAGGATAAGTGACTTATCACTTCAAAATCCTAAACTATAATGCATTGGTGTGTAGTGAAATAACAATGACAAAAAATTTAAAATTTTAAGCAGGATTTAATTTACTTATTTATTATTTCTTTCTTTTTTTTTTTTTTTTTAATAAAATACTTAAATCTGCAAATCTTAAACTGCCAGTTTGAACAATTAGGAATCCTTTAAAATTCAATTGTGGCATTGATTAGTTCATATTATAATAACATTTGAAAAAATTAAATTTCATTGTAGTCTGTTTGAAAATGAGTGAGTCAGTTTCTTAAACATTACTAGGTCCCAGATTTAATTCGTATAAATGTTAGTTTCACCAATTTTCAGTCTAATATTTTCCAATGAAGATGTTTGATCTGTTTTATTAACTTATGTTTTCTCTATTTCAGGGTACTCGTGGAAGCCCATGTTAACAGTACATGTTTATCAAAGGAATGATGGTGTTAATATGTTCTTGAAGTCTGTGCCTGATATAATTAATAGCGGTAGTGCATCAGTGGATATAAAACAACTTGATACATTCCTCAGAAAATACATAAATGCGCCTGATCCAGACTTTGCTCTTATCTGTGGAGATGTATTTTCATCTTTTGGATTTCCTCCTTGGTGTTTAAGGATTACTCAGTTTAAGTAAGTAGTTTTTGTTTGTTTAATGATCATTGTTTTGTCATTTAATGTTTTTGTCGTTCATGGTTTTGTGTTTAAAATGATGAATAATGTATAACTTCGAAAATAAAATTATTTATGACAGTTGGTTCCAGGGGCGGATCAGGACAAGTCGGGACCCTGAACGATAAATATTTCAGGGGCCATTTAAAAAATAATCAGCTTAGAGATCATAAATTTAACTTTTTGTTGTTAGATTTTTTTAACCATCCAAAATCTTAAGATAATAATAAATTAATTAGTTAAAACTAAAAGCTATCTGAGGTCTTACGCAGCAGCTGTTTATTCCACTTACTACTTAATCCGCCCCTGGTTGGTTCTTGGTTGTGGACATTGCAATTTGTAACAGATAACACTATCTCATGATATGTCCATGCTGTTGGATATGAATGCTAATCCTTATGTTTTAATTTTATATGCACCTTCCAGATTATTTTCACTCCACCTAAGCAAACCCGCTTGTGCTTGACAATCCTCTTTGCTTTGCATGGTTTTAAGATCTTGTATGAAAAGTTATGTAAAACTGATGAAGAGAGTCCAAAAAAACAAACAAAAAAAAACCTAATTTTGTTACAGACAAATTACTACACATCATAATCTCACCGTTGAGGCTTTTCTTGAACAACTCGAAGATTATAGCACTTGTAAACAGAGATGGGGAAAATAAATTATTTCTTTATTTTAAGTGTAAATATACAAATATATATTTATGTAAAGGTTGTGGCATTAAATTATTATATTTCGAAATTCCATTTCCTTTTTAAATTTTTTTTTTTTAACTATTATTTATATTTTAATTTAAAAACTTCACTAATTATAAATTTATAAACTTATGGTTGAATCATCACGATACATTTAAATGTGATAATTTGTTATAATGTAGATCCAATTGAAGTAATTAAATCTACTTAATTTTTTTCAGGACTACAAAAGAATATGTCATTGTCATAGTATAATATTCTAAGTTTTTTTTTTTTTAACAAATTGTTTAAACTATTGACAATTTTCAAATTTTACAATAATTTAGTCATTTTTCTTATTTTCTGCAGTTAATATTTTTTTAGTTCATATGAATGAATGAGTGTATTTTAAAATTAATTTAGCCACCGAAGAATTAAATAGCATTAAATGAAGAAATTTGTTTTCTGATTTTGTTCTCACACCACATTTTTAAAGAGCATGTTTTGATAGTTAATGTAAGCTTTTTTTTTTCTACTTATACTGCTTACCATTTAAAAGTAACACGGGAATTTAAAAGAAGGAATAAATTTCAACCAGCATTTATCACTAAAGTTTTTAATATATATATATATATATATATATATATATATATATATATATATATATATATATATATACATGCATATACATATTTTTAAGAAAGCAAACTCATGATGTTATACAAATTTTCAAGAATGTTTTACTAAAATCACTGTTGTTAATTAGTATCTCAAACTTAACTTCAAAGTTAAGTAAAACATGCAGTATTTTTTTCAACTTTTTAATAAGGAGAGGTCCGTTCAATGGCCTCTTCAACAGATCAATAATGATTCTCTCGCATCTCCTCTTTTGATGGGCCAAAAAGTTAAAAATCACTTGGAGCCAAGTCTGGACTATGGGCAGGTGAACCATCAGCTAAAAACCTTTTAGCTTAAAATGAGATTTTAAAGGCACTGGACTGCATTTTCGCCCATATGAGAATAAGCATTACCCTAAAGCAAAATTATATATTTCAAAGTTTACCACATGATTTGGATTTAATATTTTGACTCCAATAAACATATATCATAACCTTTCCTGCAGGCATCTGAGTTTTGAAATTATTTGGTGTGGGAGCCGAAGAATGTTTCCACACAAAACCTTTTCACTTATTCTCTGTTTCAAAGTTATTGTTCCATATCTCCTCAACGGTTATTATTCACTTCAAGTTAACAAAAGCTGATATTCGAGTTCAAAACTTGAATTTATTTACTTCCTTACAATTATGAACCTTTCTTTTGAATTGATGATTATTTATAACTGAATTTACCTGAATTATGTAGTATCTTATTATTAAACTAGCCTCCTCATAATATATCTTTCAAATTACCTCTTTTACTTATATAATCATTAATTAATTTTACCAGATTAAAAATTATATTTTCAACTAAATTTATTATCTTTAATTTTTGCTTACTCAACTAAAACTTTTGAAATCTATCATAAGATATTAAACGAAAATATAATAACTTTGTAAAAAAATTATGGTGTAAAATTAAATTCTGGCATCAAAATATCAGCTACCAAATTTTAGTTTAAAATTTAATGATCTGACGTTATTTCTTGGGGTGTAAGTGGTGCTCGATGATTAACCTGTTAGATGTATTCGCCATGAGAGGTCTATTCTACTACACAAACCACTCCATTGTTGCAAGGGAATATTCCAAAACATGGCCTATGGGGTAGGAAAAAACTGTGAAGATATCACAGTACAGTTTTAAAACAGTAATATCAAATAAAAATAAAGGTAGCCTTAAAAACCAGAATAGCAAGTATTACAAAAGTACACAAATTGTTATTGTTAAACTGCAGTAATCATTTAATAATTAATGTAGACGGCATAAATAGGAAACAGTGAAAATTATAATACAAAGGCAAGCAGGAGCTTAATAAGAGAAGCTTTGGCCTGGAGCTGCAGAACCCAAACTCCGACGGGAGGCCTATCTTGGTCTATAAGGTTTTACTTTTTAACTTCTAAATTTACATTAAAATAAAATATAGATAATACTACTAATAATATTTAGTAATTATGTAATATCTAATTACATTATATTATAAAATATTATTGTGGATTGATGATTGACTGTAGTGAATAATTGAAGACAAAATTGTTTGTGGTGATTAGTAAAAAAGAAATGTAAAAATAAATAAGTATATTTATATTATAAATAAGTATATTTAGACTTGAGTAGAGAATCTGCCCATTGCTAGATCTCCAAAATATCTATATTTACAAAAGGTCTCGGGGCCACTGCCGCTTTAACCTACGAGGGGGATTATAGGGATGGGTGATACTTGATTGGGATTTGAGTGATGAGTAAGGTTCTGGTGAAATTTGGAAAATTTGTCTTATATAAGATCAAGAATAAATGGAATATTAAGGTCATTATGCAGAGTTTTATTGGTTTCATAGAAGGGAGCATAGACTATTGTACGGAGAACTTTAGACTGAAAGGATTGAATGCGTTTAATGTTGAAAAATTTAGCTGTTCCCCACAATTCTAGTCTGTAGGTCCAGATGGGTTTCAGTATTGTCTTGTAGACCAGTAATTTGTTTTCACTAGAAAGTTTAGATTTTCTATTCAATAGTCTATATAGCTGGCCATATAGTCTGTTAAGTTCCTGTCTTTTAATTCTAGTATGTGGATTCCACATTAGTCTTCTGTCTAAGAGATAGCCAAGATACCGGACTGTGTCTGAGAAAGGAAGCTGGATGGAGTTAAAATAAACAGGTGGGCAGGTATTACGCCGAAGGTGAAGGTAATGTGTTTACATTTAGATTCGTTTACCTTAATGCGCCATTTCTTACACCAGTGTTCAATCAGGAAGAGGTGCCTTTGTAGGTTTGTGGAAGCTGTTTCAGGATCTGAGTTGGAAGACAAGATAGCAGTGTCATCAGCGAAAGTTGCCAGAAGGGTATCAGGATGGACAGGGATATCAGCGGTAAAGGATGGGACCCAAGACGTTGCCTTAAAGAACACCAGCCTCAATTGAATAACAGTCAGAGAATTCGGTACCACAGAAAACTCGAAAAGCGGTCAGAGAGATAGGATCGAAGTATTAGGTATGAGGACTGTAGTAGGTGGAATTTATGCTTGAAGAGCAATCCGTCGTGCCATAGACGCTCAAAAGCTTATGCTATGTCTAAAAATGTACTCGAGCAATAGTACTTGGTTTCTAGGGTTGAGGATAAATGGTCAACAACTCGGAGTCCTTGTTGGACAGATGAATGTTGGGAACGAAATCGAACGTTGGCACTCCATTTTTCAGATCAAATCTTCCTTTCTGTTATAACTCGATCAGCTCTTTTTGCAAGACAATTGCTTCTTTGATCTGGGTATCTTCATGTATCGGTCCCTGTCAAAATATTGTCGATTTACATATCTGTCTTCAAACTTAGGACCCCCCTTGGGGATGGAGCCCTCTTTTTCCATATTTCATTGAGAAAGTAACCGTAAGTTCAATTACGGTGAACATGGTACTCCCAAAGGCAACCGATTAAATTCGTACTCCTAGAACTCGAATTCGTAGTCGAATCCTAGAAATCAAACCGGTAAAAAAAATGTTAGAATTTACGATGGGAATAATGTATCAAGAATTGCAGAATACATTTCGCTTATATCTGTAGGCACGACAAAACGAGGGAAACGGAATCGAAGCAAGACGTCGATATGGCTTTGCAGTTCTTAACCAGTTAATAATGGATCACTGAGAGAGCCTTGTGTAGAGAAAAATGAAGTGAAAAAGGCGACAAGTAACTTTTTGGATGGTACCTCAAATTAGAGTCATTTTTATCAAATTGACTAGTGTTTTGGAAATTGCCCTAAGTAATTCTTCCTTGTTTACTACCGTAGCCTTGCTTGAAATATACGAAAACGTGATATAATTGTATTTGGTATTCGCTTGTTTTTTCTAACATTTGCCTTATTGAGAAAATGTCAATAATTGATTTACTTGGTTTAAAACCATACTGGTACCTAAATCTTCTCGGACCTATATATACCGGACCAATTATTTTATTTAAGAGAAGTGCAATAACTTCGTATAGCGTACCGATGACATACCTGATAATTGTCGCAGTTTGTTTTTTCTTATTTTTTTAAACGGCATATGGTAGCAGTTGGCCAATTCTTTAGTCATCTGTTCTGTAATCCAGACATCCGTCATTAAGTTGTAGATCTCTCCATGGACGGATGTAGGATTTAATTTTGGGGGCTTCTGTCTGATTTATATATATATATGTACATAACTATAATTACTTTTGAAGAAAAAGAAAGAAACTAGGTTAAATAGTTTATTAGTGATTCTTGAAGTCCTATTAAATGCAATTACCTGTACCACTAACAACCCATGAAGGGGCTTTGGTTCAGTACAATGTGAGGAAGTACTGTTACTAGGTCAAGAGTTGTACAGGGAGGTGGCGGGTCAATATCACTCCTAACCGCCAAGTTTTCTCCCTTAATTATTTATTTAATGAAGAGTATCCACATTATAGAGTCTGAGTTTGCCCCAGGAGGGTCTTCCGGCTCCAGGGTCGACCCACGGCTAATGAAAATTGAATGCAATTGCACGAGTAGTAATACTTTTAGAGATCATTATTTAATTTTTTTTTCATATATTTTTACGATTTTGGAGGGGGGGAGAGCTTCAGCCAGAAAGCCCCTTACGTAGATCCGCCCGTGGATATCTCTTATTAAAGGTTTTCCAAAATTCTTCACTATCTATGCATCTGACCTGGACATCTATTACTCTACATCACTGTTGTTGACTTCCTCTTTTCCTATTTTAAGTTGCCCACTACACTGTTTGGTAGTTAATTACTTTTACGAGGTTAAATGTTGTTTTCAACAATTATAAACTCGGATCCACGAACAACTTAAAAAAAACTTTATTGGTATGAAAACACAA